AGTTTTCCGGTTGCCGATCTTGGTCCAGTGCTGGTTGATTTATCCAAAGCTTCAAACAAATGCCGAAACGGAAGTTCGTTGAAGTGTAGAAGGCAAACGAACCAATGCAATGGTCTTTTTAACAGCAATTCGAATCGTGGTATAATTCCACCGTGTGGGCCAGTGTTTGTTGGTTCACCGTCAGTGCATATTCCAATTAATGCATCCAGTGATATATTTTTATCGTTGAAAAAACCATTTAATTTGGTTGTTTTGTATTCAGCGGTTTCATGTTCCAGTCTTACGTAACCAATCAATTCAGAATTGGGTTCTCTCAAAATAACAAGATGAGGTTCTTTTACCATCCTAGTATGATACTTCTCATACATTTTATGTATCGTTAAAGTATCATCTTTTCTGCCATCGAATGAAAACGCTAACAAATTGGTATCATCTAACCGTTTGCGAAGCACTTCTTGTCTGCATTTCTCTTTTTCTCTGCGAACTTTCGATTTATCCATGATGAGAGGTTTCCCATGCTTATATTTAATTTTAAAATCTTGCAAAAGAGCGGTTCCCAAGCTGATGCTACTCTGTCAGGCACACCAAATCTGTCACATACCAAGGCAAAGTTAAAACAATCGTATCTCTCTGTGTATTGTGAACTTGTGCTTCTATCCATATCTTCTTGAACCGGTGGCGGTGCGTATGTTGAATCATCGGGATCTTGGTACGTTGGCATTGATGACATAGACGTTGCTACTTGCTCTTCAGTTTCCATCACAAATGCATCCATTGTTAGTCTTCTCTGATTATGTTGATCGTGCATGAACTCTTTGAGGCGTTCGGGAACCCAGCCGCATGCATATGGAGCTGCCTTCAAATCGCATTTACATGTTCCAATGTAAAAAATTGTTTCCAGAGATTTTACATACTCTGTAAATTGTTGGGTGTTGTTTCTTCTCTTGATTTGCTCTTGATACTTGTCAAGCAATTTATTCAATTTATTAAATACACTTTTTTTCAGCATTATTTCCATACCAAGTTTTTCCCAAATTCCAATCAACTTATCTTGTACTTGAATAGTGAATGATTTATGGGAAAACTTTTTTTGTTCCGTTTTAGCACGTTCGCTTAAGTAAAAATAATATCTCAAGATATCCATATGGATTGGTAAATTAAGATCAGTTAAATCAGTAGACACACCAAAAACAGTAACATCATGCTTGGGTATATGACTCATTGGGTTTTCGATAGTTGTTGATGTAGTTGCTTCATCTTGCGGTGTAGAGGATGGTGGATTCATTGTAAACTTTTTGATTTGGAATAGGCACTTCACTTATTATTTTTTTTTTAAATATTTTTTTATCTGAAATTAGCACTTCACACTTTGAGTTCTTCACAACGACTTAATGCATTCACAAAAACTGTTGCGTTATATATGGTCTACGAGACGAGGTAATAAGAATGAAATGGTAATTTCAATTCTACCTGCTGTGTCTTGTGGTGGCTTAAAAAAACAACACAAGCAATTTTACGATCTGCAATTGTGTCACAGTGATACCTTCATTGTTTAAAAGGGTTGCAAAAAACGCGAATTTCTTAAGAAGGTGCCTTAAAATACCCACAAAAAGGGTTGTAAAAACAACCTTCATTTCTTAAGTAGGTGCTATAAAAAAACTACACAAGTAAGTTTACGACATGCAGCTGTGTCTTAAGAAACGCACACAAGCAATTTTCCGATTTGCAATTGTTTCACAGTGATACCTTCATTTTTTAAAACGGTTGAATAAAAAACCCACACAACTATGTTTACGACATGCAAATACATCACAGTGATGCCTTGGTTTTAAAAGGGTTGTAAAAGCGCTAATTTCTAATAATTTTTTTTAATTTCTTTTCTATTACTAAGTTAAATTCATTTTTTCATTTACATATGTTCTGACTAAATAAATTTCTAAAGAGAAAAATAAACTCCAAAAAGAAAAAAACATAGGCATTTCGCTGATTTTTTCATGTAAAGTGCAAAACCGGCGATTTTTTGAAATGTTTGTATGGTGAACCCCCAGGGGGGTTCCAGGGAGTGTGCCACTGGCATCGGTGGGTCGGGCCTCCAAAGTTAGTGGGGGTCGGTCATACATTTGGACTCGATTGGAGCACTCTAAATGGGTCAAAGTGGGATTTTTCAAAATTTGCCCCTACCCAAAAGTTCGACCCAAATTGGGGGACATCAGAATTCGTTTTAGAGGTATGGTTCCTTCGGCAAAGTTTCTTATTTTGATCCCTAGAATATGATTTTCACAGAGCATTGGGCGATTTTTTTGCCTCCCCACAAATCGACCTAGTACATATATATCTGGACTCACAAATCGGATTTTACGATTATAGTTGTCTGCATAACCCATTGGCGAAATAAAAACTTTATCTATGTACATATATGCATATATGTACATACATGCATATATAAATATATTTAATATGAAGTTAAAATTTTCACATCAATTTGCGCAATCTTCAAACCCATGGTTTCAATTGTACGCATTTCGCATTTTTCCCCACAACTTGATTTTGCTGCAGTGAAGCGACAGAGCAATTGACGTGAAAAAAATATATGCGGGCACTTATATATGTATCTATGCACATATGTATCTATGCACATACATATCTATGCATATATGTACATGCATATCATCGCTCCACTAAATTCCTGTCCTTAGTTTTATTCAGATACCACAAAGGTATGTTTTCTTCGAAAATACTCAAGTACTACCAGTAGAGTACTCTACTGTCAAATACCTTTTACTCGCAGTAGTTGCGGAAGGCAAAGTAAATATTCTACCTCTACGCGCCCACTACGATATGGGCGATATGAATAAACACATGATTCAATAACACAAGGTTAGATAACACTATGCGACAGTCAAAATCGGGATGGGATGAAACCAACGGGAAATGTTATAACGGTCAAAAACAAGTTATACGTGTCCCGGCGTTTCGCTTTGTCACGTCTAGGAATCGAGATATATATATAACTATCATATAGGGGAAATTGTCACCTTTGGTGGTCTTTTTTTGACATAACTCGAGAACCACTAGTCCGATTTTGCTCAAACAAATTAAAAAAAATTAAAATTACAATTCCTTTAATCTGTTCATATAAGGTTTTTCTATATAATCAACAGTTTTGCCTGTAAAAATAAATGTATGAAGAAAAAAAATATTTTTTGCCTAAAATATTAAATTTTTTTAAAACTGTTGATTATATAAAAAAACGTTATATGAACAGATTAAAGGAATTGTAATTTTTAATTTTTTTAAAATTTGTTTGAGCAAAATCGGACTAGCACAAAAGCATATACTTCTATTTCACACCAAAGCTACACTTTTGTCGTCCGTCAGTGACGATAAATTCAAACATGTTTGTTTTTCTCGTCCGATGTCAGGTGAAAAGTACCAAGATGGACTGCGAAAAAATAACTTATTAGGTGCGAAAACAACAAAATTACATATAAAATCACATGTTTAGAGTATGTCAATTAAAGTGTATCAAAATAATTCACTGCTTACAAAATTGTAATGAAAACTAGATTTGTGTGTACAAATACGGTCGGCAAATAATCTGGTTAAGTGTGCGCATCAATTCGGACGGTCAAATTGTTCTCGACCCTATTAAGCTGGCATTTCAGGGTACTATTTTATATATATATAAGGAAAATTTGAAAGTTAGGGGGGCTCGAGCACCCCCTGCCCCTACCTGGCTACGCCCATGTATGTATGTAGATAAAAGAGTTAATTCGAACTCATATAAATATGTTTATAAATCCCACTTATGCGCATAGTACGTACATATGTATGTAGTTTTAAAGTATATACATACGAAAATTAAATTTCACACAATAATCTTTTGGTCCCACTTGATTATCAAAATTTCCTTTATTATACAACTCCGCTTATCGGACTAATGATATATGACCCAACATAATCTTATTTTGCGGTAGAAACAGCAAAACAATTATTATTTGTGAATTTCATTCCATTTGCTTTTAGAATAAATGGCAGCACACAGTTCCCGAGCGCAAGACGAGGCCAAAGCTGTTGCTGAGCCATTAAATGAAAAGGACGAGGATTACGAGATCGACGAATCGACGGCAGCGGTGGTGGTTCCACCTGATAGTGGATGGGCATGGGTTGTGATGTGTGCATCCTTTTTGTGCTGCACAGTTCTCGATGGTATTGTTTTCTGTTCCGGCTTAATTCAAGAAGATTTAATAAAAGAATTTCAAGTGAGTAAAGGCTATGCAGCACTTGTGTCTTCAATTCTCAGCGGTTGTTATTTAATGGCTGGACCATTTGTCAGTGCAATGGCTAATCGTTTCGGTTTTCGGCCAGTTGCAATAACCGGCGCCCTATTTGCGGCTGCCTGCTTTGGTATCTCATATTTTGTTAAAAGCATTGAGCTCCTGTTCATAACATACGGTGTTCTCGCTGGAATAGGATTTTCTATGGTCTATATACCGGCCGTCGTCATTATAGGCTTCTACTTTGAGAAGTGGCGCGCTCTTGCTACAGGTGTTGCTATGTGTGGATCAGGTGTTGGCACTATTGTATTTACACCATTGACCGAATTAACACTTAAGTCGGGATGGAGACAAACAATCGCAGTGCAAGCTTGTATAATCGCGTTTTGTGCCCTATTCGCATGCGCATTTAGACCAATACAGCCCATTACATTGGCTGTCAATGAAGAATCTAACGACGAAAAAGCTGAAAACGAGAAACGCAATGGCCATGGCAATGTAGTGGCACCCAAACCTCAACTCCACCAAGCTGCATTCACTAAACCATTGCCGGAAGGCCGTTTCGCATATTCAATGCCAAATTCAGCACATAACACATACATGGGTGCATCGCCCAAGCATCACTACCCCACAGCTGCCGAAGTTTTCCGAGGTGCTAATATTGAACGCCGTCTGTCAAATTCCTCCGGCAAAGGAACCGAATTGAAAGCCTTGCGAAAATCGCAGCCCACCACACCGAACGGCGAGCCACAACCATCACAACTTCATTTCAATATTAACAAGGAACTAACAACGGTCGGAGAAAATGAAGAAGAGACTGAGAACGAGAACTTGATCGAAACCGAGTCAAAGCCGGTGGTAATACAGGCACGTCGTCATACTGTATCTGGACGAAGGCCAAACGACACTGTCGGTAAAAAAAGTGCGGTCGGATCTCAAGATACCGTTCACAATATTCACACGAGGCCAATGTACCGAGATGATATCTTCTTTACTGGTTCTTTGGCTCGCATTCCACAATATCAATCACAAACCTCGCTCGCCTATCATATGTCGGTCACGCGTCTTCCCACTAAACAGGACATGCTCGAAGATCGACAGAAAGGGTGCCGCCTCTGTCCTGAAGCAGTTCGTCGCACATTATCAACTATGTTAGATACTTCTCTGCTTAAGTCACCTTCCTTCATGTGCTTGTCATTCAGTGGCTTTCTAACTATGATGGGCTTCTTCGTGCCCTTCATGTACTTAACACCGCGTGCCCAAGATGCAGGTATGGATAAGCAGACAGCTCTTGGGGTGGTATCCGGTATTGGTTTAGTCAACACGATTGCAAGGTTAGTTTGCGGTACGGTTAGCTCGATTCCCAGCGTGAAGCCACTGTGGTTGAACAATGTAGCCATAACCGCAGGCGGCCTGGCGACTATCTTCAGTGGAATTAAAATAACCGTTGTAACTCAGTGGGCATTTGCTGT